TTTCTTTAAAAGGGCATCTTTTGTATATGTGAGAGCTCAAATGGAAGCTGAGGAATGCATTGTTTGACCATAATAACAAAATTCACACACAAGAGGGTGTCTGCCTCCTTCTCTGGAAGAAGCAATACGTTTTCTCATAATCTTTCTCTCCAGGCATTGTTTCCCATATTATCAATGAAAATGCTTACAAGCACCAACCCCCAAATTCTGTCCTCAAGGTCAAGTTATTAAGCTAAAAAAGACTGGTTCATTATATAAAAAAGTCAATTTCCAGCAACACTACTGCTAAAAATGACATCAATTAAACTTCTTAGCATCCATTAACTGTATTTTTTCCATGAGTTTTCTATTAAATGTAGATTTCTTTCCCTTAAGAAGTAAAGTGAAGTTTGAATAGTACAGTCTGTGGTGTGGTGACATCAGCAACTGCAAGTTCTTGTCCATCAACAAGCCCCAATTCTAAAATAGAAAAAAAGTGTAATTAATCCAAGTAAAGAAAGTCTAACAAAAAAGATAACAATACACACATACACAAACTACAGAGTATTATGAATGGTCTAGATAAGCATGAAAATCCTGTTCTCTTTAACCAATATTTGATTTCTTAGAGAACTTTTAATATTCTTACTAAATGAACAATTAATTCTATTATCAATTCTAAAGAAGTGTCATTATAACTGATCACATATTAAAGGTATTAAGAAGTCTATATCAAGCATTTATTAACTTTACCGAAAAAGGGGGAGAATAAGAAAACTATTAGTAAATATACTTATTTACAATACCTTTCAATGTCTTGGAGAGATTTGGCCTTGTTCGTTCTTCAATAGAGGTTACTGACTAGAAAACACAATTATTTTTATGTAAGACACACTGAAATGAAATTAAGCTAATATAATTTTCAAAAAAAAAAAAGAACATTGATCACCTGTAAGTAAAGTGTTCTATTTTTTCCCTCTAATGTGGCTGTGATGGCCGGAGATTTCATTTGCCTATATATAATCAGGAGAAAATAATATCAAACATAATTTTTATAAAAAGAAATTGTTTTTAAAGTTTTAATATCACTAAAATTAACTTTTATAGCACAATGTAACTCTAGGACACTTACAGAGAAGCACTATTGGTTAAATAATCCAAAACCTCCTGTAGTTTAGCTGATGGGGAAAACTGAATATTTTGAGGAAGCTGGCTACAAGCTGGGCAATTATCCTGCATACATAAAACAGAACAAATTATAGCAGCACATGTACCAATAGTACTCTCTTCATAAATAGCAAAATGAAAATAAAGTTGTTTTATAATCATGCATATCCTGTGAAAAAAAATTTATGCTTTAAAACCTCCTGTTTGCAATAGACTACTTCTTCTAAATGAATTTATTATACAGTATTTATTTTAAGCTATACAATAATAGATACATAATAAGTAGGGTTCTGAATTTAGAAAAATATTTAGAGTATGGTTAATTTTGTCCAAATTTCTAAACAAAAATCAACATTTAAAAATCAAAAGTAGGCATGATCAAAAATGTTTTCATTAGTTTAATACTACTAACCTTTCTTTCTGCTTCAAATGTGTATGTGTACAGCCCATCTACATCATTGAATACCAAGTAATTATTAAGGGGTATGTATGCACTGTAATGAAAAAATGCTCATCTTTATATAATGGAGACAGGTCAAAATATGGACTTGCATACATATTAAATATGAAACCCATTACCTTGTGGCTATTTTAAAAACCTCAGTGGCACACACAGCTAGATAGGGGAGAAAATAAAGGTACTTTAACTCAGTGAAAATCAGACACTTAAAAAGTCAGTTATAAATCAGAACAGATAAATTACCAATAGTTACTGATTTAAAATATATACACTATATTCTTATTTTTAGAAATTAAGAAAGTAAAAAATTTCTTTGTTTTGTGTGATTCAAGTAATAGAGTAACATTACATGTTTTCGTTTTTGTGTTTTTTTGAGATAGTCTCACTTTGTCACCCCCAGTAGAGTGCCATGGTGTCATAGCTCACAGCAACCTCAGACTGTTGGGCTTACATGTTTCTCTTGTCTTAACCTCCAGAGTAACTGGGACTATAGGCATCTACCACAACAACCTACTACTTTTCTTTTTTTTTTCTTTTTTTTGAGACGGAGCCTTAAGCTATCCCCCTGGGTAGAGTGCCATGGCATCACGCTCACAGCAACCTCCAACTCCTGGGCTCAAGCAAGTCTCCTGCCTCAGCCTCCCAAGTAGCTGGGACCACAGGCGCCCGCCACAACGCCCGGCCATTTTTTGGTTGCAGCCATCATTGTTGTTTGGCAGGCCCGGGCTGGGGATTTGAACCCGCCACCTTAGGTGTATGTGGCTGGCGCCTTAGCCGCTTGAGCCACAGGCGCCGAGCCAACCTACCACTTTTCAAGATAGGGTCTCACTCTAGCTCAGGCTGGTCTCAAGATTGTGAGCTCAGGCAACCTGCCTGCCTCAACTTTTCACAGTGCTGGGATTACAAGCATGGGCCACCACGCCCAGCCACATTACATGTTTTTCTTCCTCTTTATCAGATTAATAAATAGCCTGCTATACTGATTAAAAAGAAATGGTACTAAAATGTCCCTTTACTGCAGAGAAGTTTACCTAAGACATAATGTAAGATAAAATATACAAAGTCTGAGAGCTTGTTTTTTAGAAAGCTTAATTATACAACCCACCCAAGAGGATTCAGAATTCCTAAAACACAAGCAGCTACAGAAATGTCACTGTAGATACTTAATCAAAAACCAAAGAAAGAAAATAAACTAAGGGCTGACCTTTTTTCTTACCTGCAATGACTGCATTCGTGGAAGCTACAGCAGGAATGATTCGTTTTACTACTCCTGAAAAAAATCGTATCAATTAAAACATGGTCATTTCTTTTGGAAAAAAGTTAAATTAGAAAGGATGATTATTAAATTTTCTGCAACTTGACTTTTCAAGCTTTCAAATTAGAACACGAACTTTAATCTACTTTCATATTCTCATCATTTTGTAATATGTTCATAATCTTAAGTTGCAGTAGCAAAGAAAATAAACGCTCTTGAGTAAACTCGATACAAAGGTAAAATGATGTAATAATAATAGCTGCCAATTTAACAGGCACAGCATGAAGAATAAATTATTTAATTTTCATAACAGCCTATATTAGTCTTATTACTGATTTTTAAAGGTAAGGAAAATGAGGCCAAGAGAAATAACTTATTCACAGTTTTACACCTAGTAAGTGTGTGTGTGGGGGGGGATATATAGACAGATATGTGCATACTCAAAGTGCATAGTTTTTTTTTTTTGTTTTGTTTTTTTGTTTTTGGCCAGAGCTGGGTTTGAACCCACCACCTCCAGCATATGGGGCCACTGTCCTACTCCTTTGCACAGGCACAGCCCTCAAAGTGTATGGTTTTTATGGATAGATGGTGAAAAGTAAGAGTTACCTGATCATTGCACATATAATAGTTTCAGCCACTAGACTCTCATGAATTCCAGCAAAAAGATAGCCTGCCTCTTACATCTTTTTCTCTACAACCTAGGCTACACAAAATATTAAACACTGTTCTCTATTTTTATCTCCATGTTTTTCACATCGGTATTCACATATTAAGAATAAACAAGGCCATGTGTGGTAGCTCATGCCTATAATCCCAGCACTCTAGGAGGTCAAGACCAGCTTCAGCAAGAGCGAGAACCCATCTCTACTAAAAATAGAAAAAACTAGCCAAATGTAGTGGGAGCCTGCAGTCCCAGCTACTCGGGAAGCTGAGGCAAGAGAACTGCTTGAGCCCAAGAGCTTGAAGTTGCTGTGAGCTATGACACAACCGCACTTTACAGAGGATGACAAAGTGAGATTCTATCTCAAAAAAAAATAAACAAAGCCCCACCTTAAACTATTTTTAAGTACAAATAAATATTCTATTTTAAAGCTATCTTTGTATTGTTACGTTAAAAGATGAAAAAATTTCAGGGAAAAGTAGCCATATTATCTTGGAGTATCAAGGAGCACTCCAAGATACAGTCCAAAGATTCCAGATACAAGCAGGTTTCAAAAGCTTCAGAAAAAAAGGCAAATATCAAATACATAAAAGAAAGACAGTTAAGAAGTTGAAAAACTTTTTTAAAAAGTTGATTCTAACCATATGATTCTGTGCAGTCTCAGAGAAGGAGAAACAGAGATCCACTAACAGATACCATGTCACTCTAGCCTGGATAACAGAGACTCTGTCTCTAAAAAAAAAGGGGAGGGGGGCTGAGCATGGTGGCTCAGGCGTCGGAGGCTGGGCTGGGTGGAACACCTGAGCTTGGGAGTTCAAGACCAGCCTGAGAAACAGTGAGACTCCATCTCTAAACTAAAAAAAAAAAAAAAAAAAAAAAAAAGGCTCAGCAGCTATAGCTCAAGCAGCTAAGGTGCCAGCCACATGTACCTGAACTGGCAGGTTTGAATTCAGCCCAGGCCTGCCAAATAACAATGACAAGTACAACCAAAAAATAGCTGGGCATTGTGGCGGGCTCCTGTAGTCCCACCTACTTACAAGACTGAAGCAAGAGAATCACTTAAGCCCAGGAGCCGGAGGTTGCTGTGAGCTGTGATGCCACAGCACTCTACCCAGGGTGACAGCTTGAGGCTCTGTCTCAAAAAAAAAAGAAAACTAGCCAGGTGTTCTGGCAGGTGCCTATAGTCCCAGCTACTTGGGAGGCTGAGGCAGGAGGATCACGTCAATGCAGAAGTTTGGGATTACTGTGAGCTAGGGCAATGCCCACACATCATTCTACCCCAGGACAACAGAATGAAACTGTCTCACAAAAAAAAAAAAAGGAGGTCACAGTATGTAAGAAGAGACACCAACTAATAAAAGCATTGCCAAAGTGATAAAAGCTCCCCTCTTTCTCTCTTCTCCCCTTCCAACTCTTGGTCAAAAAGTTGAAGAAGACAGAAAGATTTTTCGGTTGTATTGAGAATAAGGAAAATCATCATAAAATAAACATGCTAAAAGCTACTTCACTTCCAGTTTTGCTTCTATACTCCCTGTTGAGGCCCTAATTCATCAGCTTAAAAAGTATACAAAGAACCCTCATAAAAGATACGGAAGAATGAATGAGACCTACATACTGAAAAAAAATTACCTACAAATATCCACTATATTCCAGACAACTGTTCTCGGGCATAGCAGCAATGAAGAAAACCATCTGCCTTTAAAAACTTTCATTTTGATGGGGGTGATAATGCACACGGAAATATATCAGAAAATTTCAGATACTGAAGAGTTTAATGAAGAAACTAAAAATGAGGTAGGTGTTAGAAAGACAATGATGGGGTTAGTTCATTAAATAGAATGGTCAGAGAAGGCCTCCTTAGAGAGGTGAAAATTTGAGCTGAAACCTAAACCATGAGAAAGACCCAGCCAAGCAATGACCTAAGAAAAAAGCTTATTTGTATTTGTTTTTTTTGCGGGGGGTGAGGGGTGGGAGTGTGTGTGTGTAGAGGGGCAAGAGTTTATTTGTAAATAACAATGGCAAGGCCCTGGGACAAGGATGTATGACAGTGGATGTGTGAAATGTTCTCTACGTAGAAAAATGAGGCTATCATTAATTAGCACTAAGAAATTAAAGGTAAAGTAGTGGGTGGGGCCTGTGGCTCAGTGAGTAGGGCACCAGCCCCATGTACCATAGGTGGTAGGTTCAAACCCAGCCCCGGCCAAACTGCAACAAAAAAATAGCCAGGCCTTCTGGCTGGCGCCTGTAGTCCCAGCTACTTGGGAAGCTGAGGCAAAAGAATTGCTTAAGCCCAGGAGTTGGAGGTTGCTGTGAGCTGTGACACCACAGCGCTCTACCAAGGATAATAAAGTGAGACTCTGTCTCTAAAAAAAAGGTAAAGTAGTGACTAATTCAGAAGTCATATTAGGTTGAATGATCAAAAAAATTGGTTAAGTGGATACCTGAGGGACAAGGAGCCCTGAGGGGATCCAAGGATATAGCATTCCAGGCACAGGAACCTAAAACAATGGCATACCAATAGAGGGGTAGTCAGGGACTGACCCCCGATGCTTTCTTTTTGTACTTGTACATTTGATTGTCCTACATAAACAAATGTATCAAAAATCCATCAGTGGGGTCAGTCCCTTACCTCCCCCTGCCCCTTAGGGATGTGACTGTAATTCTAAGGTGCAAATGAGCTTGTTGTGTTCAAGGAACACAAAGCAGGTCAAAGTCGGGGGAATGCAGGAAGCAACAAGGAGCTAATAAAAATGGAATTTTCAAATGACATTATTTGACCATCAGTAAATATAAGGAAATAATCACAGAAGAGAAATGGTCTATTTTTTAAAAGATGACAAAGCTATTTCTGGTGAACCTTATGATGATTCTGGGAAAATTCTAGGAAGGATGAACTGTAACTACATTGGAAGCATTAATCACTATGATTGAGCATAACTTTTCACTGATACAAGTTATGCTGGACTAGCCTCATTTAGTTACTATTACTAGCTTGGCAACTCAGGAAGCATTTGGAAAGGTCTTTCGTGATATCCTTGTGCACAAGATAAAAAATATGAAGTGCTCAAGAAGGTTTGACTAACAGAATGAGATAAACCTAAAAGGGCCTGACCAGGGGTTTAATTTAGATATCGGCTCTCAAGATAGTTCAGTCTTGTTAAAAAAAATTAATTATTTGGAAAAGAAATAAAGAATATGATTATTAAAACAACAGATGAAATGAAGCTGGAAAGAAAATCAGATGGAAGAATACATGTACAGAGAGAACAACAGGTCAAATTTTAAAAATAAATTTGTAAGAATCTATACTTGAATAAAAAAAATCACTCTCAAAATTTCCAAGTCAATTAGGAAAATGTAGCTTAGAAATAACATATGTGGATAAAACACTCAGATTTTAGAGGAGAGTAACATAAAAGAATTAAAAGTATAGCATCAATGTAACATAGAAATAACATAAAATAGAAAACCAAAAAGCCTACTTTCCTCTAAGACTGCATCAATTATCAAAAGATTATTAGCTAAAATAAGACCAAGAATGCTGCCTTCTAGCCTAAACAACTGAAGAGAAGTTAAGAATAACTAGAACATGCTTAGAGAAAAACAACGTGATGAGGACCTGATGCAGAGCAACATCTCAAAGGGTTAGAGTAACTAGGGAGGTTTTATGGCAGTGATAAAAAGTCTTGGGAGAATGTGATCACTGTCACCAGTATGTTAAAAGCTATTTCTTAAAAGAGAATTAGATTATACTTAGTATAGGTACTGGGACAATACTCAGACCACACTAAAGATGAAGACTTTTACTCAGTTTATATAATAATTATCTAACACTCTAATCCAAATGTGTAATAGAATTCCTCAAGAGGTGATTAATTCCTCCTCAAAAAAAATGGTTTGACTTGGAAAGACTTACAAACTTTTCCAATCTAAACAAGTTTCTTACTCTAAACAAGATTCAGTGATTGTACTACACCCTCCCTAGATAATAAGTAGTATGAGTTCAAATGAACTCGGTTCCCTTCCACTTTGGGATACCTGTAAACTATTATTTCCTTGGTACTATTACTAAACTTCAAAGGATGGTATGGCCTAAAATCACCTTTTTTTATCCCCAAAGCATCCCAGTCCTAAAAAAAAAAACCAGACGGATCATCCCAAGATCATAATTCACTAACTTACCTTGAGTGAGTCTATATGTAACACCTCTAATACTATATTGTGATGCTCTCTCTAGGGATTTTTGGAAAATCCATTGAATATGTTCAGGATCATCTCCATCTAATGGAACCCCTTCTGTTAAAAAAAAAAAAAAGAGAGAAAAAGACAGAAATTTGTAATCACAAAGCATTTTGTTTATAATGAAATTATCCAAAAGAAAATAAAAACATATATTTTATGTAACTCTGGGCTATTAAACTAGGTTTATTACCTCCAAAAGGCTGCTCCTTAGGCCACTGCAACACCCTTACATACTCGATACAGTGTTCAGGTAGCCTGGGCATAGATGCAATGGTGCACATGGGAAAATTGATCTAAAACCAAGTTTGTCTGTTTTAGTGAATTTTAAAAGATGAATTATTTTAACATGTAACTTATAGTTATGATCTAGTTTTTAACAGTTTATTTTTTCTGATAAATGCTACTAGAACATTAGAGTTTATAACAGTTCTTATAACTCATCTCAGCCCTCCACTTATATAAGCAAACCTTGCTTACCATTAATAACACTCCTAAAACTAATAGGGATCATCTAGGTCACTTCCCCTAGGTTGACCTGCCCATAAAGATAGGTTGCTCAATTACAAGGTAAATACATTTAAACTCTGTTACACTATGAGAAGGGAAGTGTTAAACACATCATATAACCTGAAATATATGTGGGTGAAGACCAAATAGATTATAGCTCTATCCTAACATATAACTTTGTAATTATACTTGATCCATTCTCTCCAAATAAAAAATACAAATGAAGTAAGAAAACAGAATAGTATCAGAACTATGATATTCAGTTTATACCTTTCCTCAAATAGAACAAAATTTGCCACTTAAATTATTTTTCTTCTCAAGTAGTTCTTCTAAAGTATACTAATAATACTTAGCATAATTTTAAAAATGTTACTCTTAATTAAAAATACTAAATATTGACTAGACTTAGCAATTTAACCCTAATTTCATTGCAAGATACTATAAAACAAATGCAGGTGGTTTTTGTTTTGTTTTTGATTACCTGTGGTGGATAAAGTTCCAGTGTGCACTCAATACAAGCAGTCATTCCAGGCAGAATTACCCTTGCATTTCCTTTAAAACCTTCTGTCCCACCATCTATCAAAGGAACAATGGAGCTTGGATCTAACACACCATCTTCATAATTTAGAAGAGATATCTAGGAAAATAATTTGAAGGGTTTAAAGGAAAAAGGGATGAGAATTTTTTTTAAAGGAGCATGCTTTCAAGTAATTCTATGAGTCATGCTATTGAGTAGTAATGTATCATATCAGGGGATTATAGTATCAATAATTTGTTTTATCACCTAAAAACCAATGATTAGCAATAAACAGTGAAGTGCCTCCAATTAAATAAACAAATTAAATAAATTCTGATTTGGCAAATTAGAATGACAATTTTCATTTTGGTGTATCGAGAGCAGCAACAAAAAACTTCAGAGAAACCTTAACAACACCAAAGTCTTTACCAGCATGCCATTTATCCATCTTCTGGCTATGATAGAGTCCAGTCCACATACAATAATATGAAATTCTACAAGAAAAAAAAACCTAAGTTTAATTTTGAAAAATGCAGTTACACATTATGTTTTAATGTAGGTTGATCAATTACAACAAATGTACCACTCTGATGCAGGATGCTGACAGTGGGGAAGGCTACGCATTGGTGAAACAATGAACTCTATTGCAACTCAGTATTTCAAAATTTTCCACTCAGTTTTGCTGTGAACCTAAAACTGGTCTAAAAAGTTCTAAAGAAAGAACTATACACAAAAAATTGACTAATAAAAAAGTGCTTTTTGTTATAATCTCTCTCTCTCTCTCACACACACACCCCCCACTCAGGAGCTCCTAATCCTTGACCAAATAAAATCACCATAGAAAAATGTAACTACTGGTATTGGCCAAAACAGTGACATTCACTTTTCAGTAGCTCAACAACCTTTCTGGAAAACCAACAGTGAAACAGGAAAGCAACCGAAGAAATACCCTTCAAAGAGCTAACCATCTATAACCACCTAGCAAATAAAAAGCTCTAAGAGTTGGTGAGAATTTAATTTTAAGTGAATAACTTACGTCGGTAGAAAGTATCATTAAAATCCTGAATCTTGTTGAAATGTCTGAATACAAGTAAAGGAACTTAAGCTGTTAACTTTTTAAAGAATGAATTTAACAATGCCATAGAGAACTCTCAGAGTAATCAATGTTCAAGGCACAGAAATTTAAGGAATCTAACTGTCTGAACATAACTCTTTCTGTCAAAACGTTTTCTACAACTTCTCTCCCAGCTACTAAGATTTCCTCATCCCTGTGCCACCAAATCATTATATCCATGTCTCTGTTAGAAAATAAACTTTCCACTTTTCATGTTTATATAAAGCCCCAGGAAAGCATTTTTAGCTATTCCAAATAAAACTGCTATGAACACTGATGTATGAGTTTCTTTATATGGATATGGGTGTTTATTTCTCTGGGATAAATGCTCAGGAGTGAAAATTACTAGATCATATGGTTAAGTGCATGCTTAGATTTTTAAGAAACGGCCAATTTCCCAGATAGCTACACCATTTTACATTTCCATCAGCAATGTGTAAGTGACCCAGTTTTTCTGTATCTCTGCTACCACTAGATATTGCCACTATTTTTTTTAGTCTAGTAGGTGAATAATATCTCACTGTGATCTTAATTTGATGTTGAATTTTTTTTTTAACTCTCCATTTTAAAATGAATGATGCTAAACATGTTTGTGGGCTTCTTGCCATTCTCTTTAGTAAAATACCCCTTCATATCTTTTGTTCACTTTGTAAATAAAATTTCTAGAGTGAAGTTTTGAGTGTTCACTTTATATTCTAATATGAGTTTGTGAGCTACTTTTTAAGTATTTTCTCCAATTTGTAGAGCTTGTCTTTTCATCCCTTTTACAGGGGTTTTCACAGAAAAAGTTTTTAATTTTGATGAAGTTGAATTTAGCAATATTCTTTTCCTATGAATTATTTTTTACTTAAACATATTTTTAAGAAACAAGGTCTTGTTATGTTGCCCAAGTTGCAGTGCAGTGGCTATTTACAGGCACAATCATAGCTCACTTCAGTCTTTTGTGATCCTCCCATCTCAGCCACCCGAATAGCTTGGACTACAGGTACCACCAAGCTCAGCCTTTTATGGATCATACTTTTAATGTAGTCTAAGGACTCTTTACCAAACCCTAGGTCCCAAATGTCTTCTATGTTATCTTCTAAAATTTTATATTTCAATCTATGATCCACTTTAATTTTTTATAAGATATCAAGTTTAGGTCAAAATGAATTTTTGACTATGGATAGCCAATTGCTCCAGAACAGTGGTTAAAGAATCTATCTTTCTATTGAACTTTTTTTTTGCCTTTGTCAAAAATCAATTAGCCATCCTTACAGGGACCATTTCTGATTTCCTTACTCTACTGATCTGTATATATCCCTCTGACAATCCCAGTCTTGATTATTATAGCTATGTAGTAGTTGGGTACGTTTCCTTCTATTTCATTCTTCTTTCTCAGAATTGTTTCAGGTATTCCTTTGCCTTTCTATATGAATTTTAGAATAATCTTGTCTATATCAACAAAAAAATTTTGCTGAGATTTTGACAGAAAACTGTGGTATACAGGTATACAAACTTGGAGAGAAGTGAATTCTTCATTATATTGAATCTTCTAATCCTTGAAGACAAAATATCTCTCCATTTATTTAGATCTGTAATTTCTTTCACGAGCATTTTGTAGTTTTCAGGGTATTATACATATCTTGTTAGATTTACACCTAAATTTTGTTTTGAGTGGTTATAAATGGCATTGGACATTTAACTTCAGTTTCTATGAGTTCACTACTAGTATGCAGAAATACAATTGATTGTTGCATGTTGATTTTGTATTCTGTGGGAATTCCTACACAGAAATCTCATCTCCCAGAGGATTTTGATCTTGGTAATGCCCTGGACATCAGCAACCCGATGCAAAGCATCAAAAAGACATTCAGGATAGCAGATGGCAAAGCGGTGTCTGAGACCAATGACCCCAAAGCTTGAGGCACTTAGGCAGTAGAAATATGATCTCCCAATTTTCTAAAAAATACTCAAACTTCTCCTGATCTGTATTCAAAAGTAAAAGAGCGTAAATATTTCTTTTAAAAAAGAAATTTAAAAGTTGTGAGGCTGGGCTCACACCTACAATCCTAGCACTCTGGGAGGCAGAGTGGATCACTTGAGCTCAGGAGTTCAAGACCAGCCTGAGCAAATGTGAGACCTCATCTCTATTAAAAATAGAAAAACTAGCCAGGCATGATAGCACATGCCTATAGTCCCAGCTACTCAAGAGGCTAAGGCAGGAGGATGGCTTGAGCTATGAGATATGACACCACAGCACTCTATCCAGAGTGACAAAGTAAGACTCTAATAATAATAAAAAATAAAAATCACATTTCTTAAGAAAATAAATTTATTCTGACATACCTTCTATATAGCTAACAATATATTGACTATCTACTCTGTCTGCCACTATAAGACAAAGATTAATTGGATCCAGCCTAGGAACTTATAGTCTAGTAAAGGAGATATGCAAGTGATAGTGAAATTAAGGGCAATAATGCAGAATAAAAGCTATATAAGCTTAATTTTTAAATAAGAGCAAAAAAAATTTTACAAAACCATAAAGAAGAGTGAAGGAATATAAAGCAAAATACTATCGGCAATAAGAAGGTTACTGCTGCTGCTGTTTTTTTCCTTTTTGCTTATCTGTATTCTCTGTTAAAATATCTCTTTTTCTAATAAAGAAGAAAACAAAAGCTTTAAGAAATTAACTAATTCTTTTCATAAAAAGGATACGGAACTACATTGCAATTAGGAACTCTGTCATTTAGAAATTCCGCAGCAACTTCAGCCTTAGGTCTTCCAACATCTTTAGGCCTACAGGAAAAATATTTAAGTTATCATTCATAACATAAATCTAGATGATCTACATAACTGACATGCACGTGTAAAAATAATCAATAGTAAGTTTATAAGATATTTAGAACATTTTTACTTTTATATATATATAGATAGTCTCTCACTATATCGCCCTCGGTAGAGTGCCATGGCGTCACAGCTCACAGCAACTTCAAACTCTTGGGTGTAAACAATTCTCTTACCTCAGCCTCTCAAGTAGCTGGGACTACATGCACCCACCACAATGCCTCCCTATTTACTTATATTTTTTTTCAATAATAACTTTTGATAAGTAGTCATTTAACTTTAAATGTCAACCTTTTGTCATTATCTGAACAATGTTAATTTATCTCTAGGCAAGGCATAATAATGCCATGTCTCTTGGCCACTGACCACTGTTCCAGTGTAAAAAATTATCCTAGACCCAAAGCCTTCCAAGTTTTTACCCTGCACCCTCGAACCCTTAAGTGGCAGTTACTATGCAGGTCTTGGCAGAAATACACACAAAGTAGATTCATTCAAGGGATTTAAGAACCTTCACTTATCCCCTTCTATGTGTACTGAATAAACAGTAATTCCTTATCCCTTAAGAAATCATAACCATGTTTTTAAAGTGGGGATAACTCTAAAGGCATTATCTAAAATTGTAAATGTTACCAATATGTTCAATAAGCTAAAAATATGAAGCCTCAGAAGGTCCCTCCTAGACAATAACCACAGAAACATAGAAAAGGACATAAATTCCCTCTTCCAATCTCAGCAGAAATGGTTAATTTCTTTCCTAACAGCTCTATATTCTCTTCATAGAAATCATTCCTTGAAGTATACACAGTAAGAGCTTCATAATTACTTTTTTCACAACACAATTTTTCTTTTTTTGGTTTTTGTTGAGACAGAGTCTCACTATGTTGCCCCTGGTACAGTGCTGTGACATCACAGCTCATAGCAACCTCAAACTCTTGGGCCTAAGCAATTCCCCTGCCTCTGCCTCCCAAGTAGCTGGGACTACAGGTGCCTGCCCCAACACCTGGCTATTTTTTGTTGCAGTTGTCATTGTTGTTTAGCTAGCCTGCACGGGTTCAAATTCACCACCCTCAGTGTATGTGGCTGGCGCTGTAACCACCGTGCACAGGCGCCGAGCCAACACAGTTTTTCTTACATGTATGCCTATCATACCTACTAGAAACTAAACTATTAACACCTGGAAGAAAATGACCATATTCTTACTCTCTTTGTATTCCTTCATATCTAGCACAGAGTAAATATTTTTTAAATAAATGAAAGTGACAAATCAAATGTGCTTATTGGAAAAAACCTGCAATTTCAAAGAAAAACATCTTAACAAGTCAATTTTTCTTATCTCCAATAAAGCAGGGTTCGTTTCTGACTTAACACTTTCGAATAAGTGTCTTATTCTCACTTTGTCCTAACTTAGAAAAGCCCCTGCTATAAATTAGAGAACCTGATTTTAGTATTGTACTCAACTACTTTCCACACAGACAGCTCTTTAAATATGTAAAGGGCATTAAATGGACTTCCAAGATTCTTTTATGTAGCTTATGTGCTTTCACAGTAGATCCCAAAGTAGATGGTCTCTGTGGAAACTGCTAATTTACCATCCCAGGATTAAGGGATCAGATTGTTTCACCTAAGACTAAGAAACATCATTCTTGAAGGAAATCTTGTCTAAATTACTTAATCTTGAAAGTAAGTATCTACTCTGAGGTTAAATAAGACAATATAGTTTAGAAAATGCTTAGTACATCATAAACACTCATCGTTAACCATTTAGCCACAAGAGTATGGCTTATTATCAATAACCAGTCAATTCAGTGATTATCTTTTTTAGAACATCCATATGCTCAAAATTTGTCAAACTGGAAATAGCCTACAAATTTTTCAATAAAAGGGAGAAATTTCAAGAGTTAAAAAAATAAAAGTTAAACACAGACGTCACATTGCAATTACAACACTTTATAATTTGACTTAGTTTAATTCACACTTCATTCTCTTGAAGAAAAAGATAAAATAGAAGTTTTAGGCCTATTCAAAACTTTAACATTACCCTTTGTGCTAACTCAACCTTATCCTGCATACCCAGGACTTTTTGAGAACTTTCTGAGTACCCTAGATGGGATGTCCAATCTTTCTTTTCTTCTGCCACTCACTAGAAAAATGAGAGTTGTCCTGGATCACATATTAAATACACAAACACTAAGAAAAGCTAATAAGCAAAAAAAAAAAAAAAAAAAAAAAAAAAAAAGGTCTGTGCATACTTCATCTCTTGACACCACAGATTTAAACAAAAGTGTCTTCACAAAATGAGGGTTCAACACTCCTGACTAGAAAGAGAAAAAAACAAGTCTATTATCTCTTCACACCTATGTTCTTTTACTAATGAACACTTTTCAACTAAGACACTCAAATCTCTAAATACTGTACATTAAGTGCATGAGTGAACCTTTCCTTAGGTCTGCAAATATGGTTCACTTCCAGTTTGTTTTTTTTTTTTTTTTTT